TGTGCAGTGGCATTGGTAGTGCGTGAAAGTATCCTATTCAACTGATACTGTTCTCATCCAATTCCCCTCCCTCTCACCCCACCCCAACACACACACACAGACAGTTAAACACACACATTCAACATGTCCAGCAGGGGTCACTGGAATCATATTGTTCAGCAAATGAATTAAAATCTTACATACCTATATTAATATGACTCTGGCCACCAGTGAGACCTGCTCACCTCTCAAGTGATACAAAAGGATTGCAGGATAAGTGAAATACAGATTCTTACTTTAGTTTTTTAATCAGTGTTGATTATTGTGGGACTTCAAAAAAGAATCAAATATTTTATAATAAAATAATAATCTTTGCATTTGATATAGCATCTTTTCCAATAAAACCTTACAGGATTTATTACAACAGGTAGTGATTAAGTATTTGTACACAAACAGCTTTGTGGCAGTACAGTAGCTTTACTTAAAAGTGGAGATACTCAACAACAGCATTTTGCACTTATATCACACTTTTCACAAAGGATGATGAACATCTCAAAGTGTATCACAGGGTCCACCCGCAGCGACCCTGAAGCAGCCATCAAGCTTCAACTCCCTCGTCCCTCTGAAATCCAGGACTGTCTCCAAACCCACCTGATGCCCCAAGTACAACTGCCATTTCTGCTCCCTAAAATCCCACACCTGGCTGCTCGAGTGCAGATGGCAGAAAAACAGCTGGTTCATGGTTCATCACCAGCTGTGGCTCGAGCATCTTCACACCCACTGCCATTTCCTGTTCGCAAGCAAATAATGCACACTACTGAAACATCATAATGGAGGCCAACAATAACTCCAAAATTATTTTTCCCACTGCCCACCACCTCCTCCATGCGCCACTTCAAGCAATCTCAATCATCACATCTAACGCCAAGTGTGAAGAGGTCATGGACTTCCTTACCTCTAAAACTGACAACATCAGCCTAGCAGCTTTATCTTTCTACCCCGTGTTACCTACCACCGCCCCCATTCCATCTCCCTCACCCACCCTGACCTCAGCTCCTACCACGGCCCCCATCCTACATTCATTTGCCCTCATCACTCCTTCCTCCCTCTGATCCACCATCACCACAATGAAACCCACCACCTGCTGCCTCGACCCCCTCCCCACTCAACTGCTGATCACCCAGCTTCCCCTCCACTGCTCACTGCTGGCAGACACTATTAACCAGTTTCTCTCCCCAGGATTAGTCCCACTCACCCTCAAAACCGCGGTCAACACCCGCCTCCTTAAAAAACCTACCATTAATTCCTCCAACCTCGGCCACTACTGTCCTATCGCAAACCTGGCCTTCCTTGCCAAAGCTTTGGAATGCATTGTTGCCAACCAACTTCGTGCACACCTCTCCCTCTACACCCTACTCGAACCCCTCCAGTCCGGTTTCCGCCCTGCCCACAGTACAGAGACAACACTCATGAAGGTCACAAATGATATCCTCTCTATCTGTGACCAGGGCTCCCTCTGCCTCCTCGTCCTCTTGGATCTCTCCGCCATGTTCGACACAGTCAACCACGTCATCCTCCTCCACTGTCTGTTATCCATCATCCACCTCAGTGGGACTGCATTCGTTTGTTTGAGTTCTACCTTACAAACCGTCAGCACTACATTTCTGCAAATGGCTTTTCTTCTCGCTTCCACACAGTCACCTGTGGGTTACCCCAAGAATCCATCCTTGGCCCCTTTCTCTTCCTCATCTGTATGCTCCCTCTCGGTGCTGTCAACCGTAGACACGGGGTTAACTTCCAAATGTATGTGGACACTGAACACTATTTTTCCACCTCCAGCTGCGATCCCCAGTCCCCTGATGTTCTCTCAGCTTGTCTGTCAGACATCAGGAACTGGATGAATGCAAATTTCCAGCAGTTAAACGTCAGCAAGATGGAAGCCATACTCTTTCGCTTCCATTGACGTCTTCTGTCCCACGGTTCCGACCTCTTTAACCAACCAGACCTGTCCTTAAAATTCTCTGAACCCATGTGCAACTTAGTCATCAGGTTCAATCCCCAGTTATCCTTCCTCCCCCACATCTGGTCCTTGACCAGCACCGCTTTCCTCCACCTTCACCACGTTGCCTATCTCCGACAATACCTCACCCCAAAAGCTGCCGAAACCCTTTTCCATGCCTTTGTCACCTCTCAGCTGGACTACTCTAATCCCCTCCTTGCCGGTCTCCCCTCCTCCACTATTCACAAAATTCAGCTCATTCAAAACTCCGCCTCCCGCATTCTCACCCGCACCAAACTCCACACTGCGATTACCCCAGTCCTTGCCAAACTCCACTGACTCCCTGTCACAGAGCGGATTGACTTCAAGATCCTCACTTTAGTGTTTAAATCCCTACATTCCTTGGCACCCCCCCCTATCTCTCTAACACCCTCTCTCCCCACAGCAGTACCTGCTGCCTCCGCTCTACTGGGTCCGGCCTCCTCCGTGTCCCCCGAATCCCCGCTCCACCATCGATGGTTGTACCTTCAACTGATACGCCCCGAAACTTTGGAACTCCCTCCCTCAACCCCTTCACCTCATCCCCTCTTTCCTCATCTTCAGGTTGCGCTTGAAGATTTTCCTCTTCAACCGCGCCTACGGACATATTCCACCACCCTCTGGCTCAGCCTTGGGCTCAGCCATTGATAAGCTCCCTGAGATGCCGCATTGCCTGGAGGGTACTATATTGCAAGTTGTTGTTGTTGTTGTTGTAGTATTCCTTGTGTTAGAAAGATATGGAACTTTCCAAAATGTCATATTGAGGCATTTGGTGCAGCATGAGAGTCAGTCCAATACAGGGCCATTTTAAGATTAGAATTCAGTTTACTGCACACTGCTGTGGATTACTGATAATGAATGACAACCTGTGATGCACTGGGATACCCCTGTACTAGGAGGTTAATTGAAGGATGAGGCAATCTACTGGTCAACCGTCCTCCATTGCCTGCCACAGTACGGTCAGGTTCCATTGCTAGCCTTGTTCTTTTGTGTACTTCAGTGGCAAACTCTACACATGAATTATTCCTGTAGGTTGCAATAATGTTGACACCAACTAAGTGGAACTGGCATTTCCAGTATAGCCTGTTTACTGATTGCATTCTTTCATGTAGGTGTACATTTGCTAGACATAANTTTTTTCAAAATGTCAAACACTTGGGGAAGGTAAAATTAATCTATTTCCTTTGAAGATACATAGGGATGTGCAGGGGAACCTGCTGAGTTTTCGAGCATGGAAAATAAAACTTTAATGGAGTAGAATGTGCTTAGGTGGGTGCTTGCATTGGTTTGGTCATTGTTTTGCAGTAGCTGTGAAATTGTTTTATTAAGGTTATCCTCAGTTATACTGAGGTCGTCCTTTACATTTATATTTTCTTTGATATGTTTTGTAGTTATTTGTTTTTTTAAGGTTATCCTCAGTTATGCTGAGGTCATCCTTTATATTTAAAGTTTCTTTGATATATTTTGCACTTATCAGGGTGAGGGGTGTGAGATGTCAGCATTTCTGCATTTTGTCACCTAACATCAACACCAGAACATCAAATCTAAAACTGAAGAGTTTCTTCTATATGTGGTATTGATACCGCAAGGAATGGGATTAATAATAATCTTTGCATTTGGTATAGTGCCTTTCGCATTGGAAGGACATCGCAAAGCACTTAACAGGATTTACTGTTAGTGCAGTGACTGTGCATTTTCAGGCGAATATGTTTTTACCCAAAGAGGCAGTGATAAGTAAAGAATTCAAACTAGCTAAGAATGTTTCCTTGTCCACAGGGAATTGATCAGTAAGGGTGGGTAAATCTCTACAATGTTTTATGAACAATAAAATGGGCAATTTTTTAACCAAATGTAAAGGTAAGAATTTTACAGATTAACGTAATCAGGCAACAAAAACTGACAGTGTTTCATTCTGAACCTTAACTTTGAGGAATGGAGAGCTTGTTTGAGTCAATGGTTTAATTCTGGAAATTGAAGCTATTCAAATAACAGGATAGCAGCGTGATGAAGCCTTATAAACAGCAATGGTAGAAGGTAGTAATGAGTAATGTAGTGATAATAATAATCTTTGCATATCCTCCGGGGGGGGGGGCGGGCGGGGGGAGGGGGGGAGAGAGTTAAATGAGTTCTGGCAACGGAATGTTGGAATCGCGTCAGAGCCCTCTGTGAAGTGCAGTTCCTGGCCAAGTGGATCCAAAGTATTCCAGGGCACTGCTGATGATAGCACAGCCAGCATTGCTCATCAGCAGGATCTGGAAGAGTAGACCAGTCACTGGAGGCAGCGAGTGATCCCACTCCGCTCCTTTTAAGCCTGAAAGCCAAAGCCTAATGGGTAGAGTAGGCCTAGCTAGACAAGCAGTGGGAAAGCTTGCTAGACAGAATAATCTTTGCATTTGATATAGTGCTCTCACATTGGAAAGATGTCTCGAAGTACTTTCCCTGATTTACTGTGAGGTGTAGTGACTATGTATTTATAGGTGAATTTGGCAGCCAATTTGCAAGGATGAAGTCAATAATTAGTTTTATTTGGGGGATTGTTAGCCAGAATACTGGGAGAAATTCCCTTCTCTTTTTGAATACTGTCAAGAGATCGTCAAAGTCCACCTGAACACTCAGCCAAGACCTTGCTTAATGTTTCATCCAAAAGTCGGCACCTCCAATAATGCAGCACATCCCCAGCACTGCACTGGACTGTCAGCACAGAAAAGGCTTGAACCTACAACCTTACTGACCATTAAGCCAGGCTGACACTAGTAATGGAAGAACAGAATGATGCATTACTAGACATATTGCAAAAGTGCATGATACTGTATTTTATTGGCAAACGTTGCTGGTGACATGCCATGACTGATTTCTGACATTGATAGTCCGTTGTTTGTATTTATTTTACAGGTAATCAAGGAACAAAAGGATTTCAAAACAAACATCAATGTTAATTAAATTGAATTGTCCTCTGCAATTTCGTTCCTTCCTTGCTTTTTCATTCTTACTTCCGGTCCAGATTCACGTGCTTTCCCTCAAATCAGCATCAGGATTACATTCTGGGTGGGATGAACAATAAACCAAATAATTTATAAATTTGTAACACAAAAACAAAACTAATCCTTGCGTTTGATATAAGACCTTCATGTCAGTAGGGTGCCTCAAAGAGCTTCACAGGATATTCTGTAAAGCTATATATTGTATTGGTGAATGGGACAGCTAATTTGCATACAGCAATATCTCACAAACAGCTATGAAGTGTATTCCCAATTTTATTTGGGGGATTGTTAGTCAGTGTTAGACACTTGGAGGAATCCCTTTGCTTTCATATCATCCCATGAGATCCTTAAACTGAACAGGCAGACACGACCACCTGCATGTCATCCATAGAAGGCACCTCCACCAATTCACATATCCTCAGGTCTACACCAGTGTCAGTCTATACTGTAGAAGTTCAAAAAGGTCTTCGGGAGAAGCCTATTGCCTGATAGAGAAGCGTACAGAGTCATATAGGAACTGCATTGCTATATAAAACAATTTATTGTTGTTGAGATTGATTCATTTGTGTTTTCAGTGCAGGCCAATCATTCCCGACAAGCCAATTACTCGGGAGCCATGAAAACAGAACTGTCTGTTTTTCTTTCTGGAATTTAATATTCTTGACATGAAGAAGAGTTAAACAAATGGGGCAAAAAGGTTATTTAAATTTTTTTTAAACCCTGGAGAGCAAGTGCTGTACACAAATCCTCATATGATCAAGTTAGGAGTGTCAAAGTCCTAAATGATATCCATGTCCTTGAATCAGTTGACTGTCCCTTCAGAAATCTTTCCTACTCCAAATTCAACCCACAACTTGGGTGCAAACCTTGATTTTCCAGCGCTTTGAGATGTCCTTCTGGTGTGTAAGGTGCTATACAAATGCAATTTGTTGTTGTTGTTGGACATTGATATCTCTGGAATTGTGGGTTCAAGCCAGCCCCATGTTGGGACTTTGAGTCACTGGGACTTTTGACACAGTCTATGATGATATTCCAATGCAGTGCTGGGGAGTGCGATATTGATGAAGTGCCATTCTTCAGATGATACGTTAAACTAAGTCCCATCTGTCTGCTCAGGTGGATGTTAAAGATTCCATAGCACAACTCTAAAAGAGAAGGGAGATTCTCCCAGTTTCTTGGCCAATGATACCCCAATATAATTGTTCATTGATGTCATGGCTGTTTGTGGAACATTGCTGTGTAAATTGGCTACCACTTTCAACTGCAAAAATACAGTCACTACACAGTAAAAGAAATCCTGTGAAGCATTTTGAGATGTCTTGACAACATGTCAAGGCATTATATCAAATGAAAGGATTATTATTACTATACTAGTTTGGTGTTTAATGCCACATGTTATAGCTTGTATGTGTTAAAATATTGATCTGAAAATCACCTGCATTGCTACTGCTACTCTGCATTCCTGAATAGCTAAAATAGTCTTTGATAATTTTTTTCACACAGCGAGTTGTTTGGATCTGGAATGCACTGCCTGAAAGGGTGGTGGAAGCAGATTAGATAACACCTATCAAGAGAGAAATGGATAGATATTTTGGGAGGACAAATTTGCAAGGCTATGGGGAGAGAGTGGGAGAGTGGGATTCTTTGGATAGCTCTTTCAAAGAGCCAATACGGGCACGATGGGCCAAATGGCCTCCTTCTGTGCTATATAATTCTATGATTCTATAAATATTCAGGGAAGATTTTGCATTTGTTTAGAATAGTTACTGCATTCAATTGTCTTTCACTTGGTTTTACTAGGAAGATCATCTTCACTCTGCGTTCACACTGCACAATCTTTGTAGAATTCTATTTACAGCAACTGCAAGGTGTATTGGATTGTTTCAGCAGCTGTTCTATTAAGATTAGTTTCTGTTTGATTCTTCCCAAGTCCTTCACTCTTGATTTGAAATTTCTACTTTAGCCATATCTTTTCTCTTCTTACTGCTAGGTAAACAGCGGTGTGTGGAATAAGGAAACTTGCTCAACATTTCGCCCTGCAGGGAATCTAATCCAGGTCTCTCGCTTGTAAAGCGAGTGCTCTAACTCTGAGCTATAGGATTTACTAAACTGATGGAACAGGCTTGGTGGGTTAAATGGTCGCTTGCCTATCCTGTTTTCCTATGTTCCTAAGTCAGAAAGCAGCAACATAGACAAACAATGCAACAATTAACAGCAACATAATTTCATTATCAATCACGTCTGGTATCTTTTTCATATTTTTATACTAGATTAAAAAAATTAAAAATTGCAAACATTCACAAAATAAATAATATACACTCCACAGGTGTTTGCCCCAATTACAAGTAATAAGAATAAGAATAAGAGGAAGAAGAAGAATCTTTAAGTTTGATATAGCAACTTTCATGTCAAAAGGATGTCTCAAAGTGCTTCACAGGATTTATTGTAAAGTGCAGTGATTGTATTTTGTAGGTACACACTGCATTACACTGAATAATGCAGTTACAATGGCTTTTTAGAGAGGAATAATCCTAAATAGTCAAAGTTCTTTATCTGTCTAAAAATAGTTTTAAAAGCAACTAATGCTTGAGTGAAAATTGTAATGTTTCTTTACAGAGGAATGGACTGCAATTCTAGTAAGTTACACAGAGCATTATTGCAAATGGGAAAAATCCATTAGCGACTGACCTTGATAATCCATACATGTGATGGCAAATAGTAAATTCAGCCTATCAAAGTGCGAATTATAATATATCTGTAAGAAAGAAGACTATTTACATCACTTTTTTATAACAAAAGTATACAAATAAAAAATTACAATGAAAAATTAATTCATGTTAACTACATTAAATTCAATGTTTTCTTTGAAACATCAGTGAAAGCTTCCCTACGCAGTCCCAGTATAAGAAATATGTACTATTTAACTTACCTGGGTTATTCTGTTCTGTTTCCTAATGGAATAAATTCACTCAGATGGCCAAAGTGAAATTCTGCTCTGTTCACTAAGGTAGTTTGTTGCTCTGCATTTATAAGTTATTGTAATGCAATTTAAAATCATGAATAACATTGAATTATACATGTGAAATTGTATTTTTAAGCGCATTGCAACTTTTTCTGTAAATTTACAAAATGGAGCAGAATTAGTGCTTCAACCACAAATGCACTGCGTTGAAAGCAAAGAGCAGGACAATTTCCCAATGAGTAGTGTTGAAATATAATGCCTCTGATGGTCAGAAATTAAACTTGAGCCCAGCTTTATTATATTAATGTAGCATTTCAAAGATCCAGAAATTGTCAAATTCTTAAATATAGTCTGTCTCAGTCAGGCTCAGTTGGTCGCACTCTTACCTCTGAGTCAGAGTTGTGGGTTGCACTCTAAACCTCTCAAAGCCAGTCAGGAACCCCGGCGTTCTGTTCGACCCTGAGCTGTCCTTTCTCCCTCATATCCGCGCCACAACTGGCACCACCTTCCATCACCTCTGGAATATCGCCAGTCTACGGCACTACCTCACCCCTCACGCTGCTGAAACTCTGGTCCACGCCTTTATCACCTCAAAGCTGGACTACGGGAACTCTCTCCTCGCCGGCCTTCCCGGCACCTCTTTCCACAAGCTGCAGGTCATTCAGAACTCTGCAGCTCGTGTACTGTCCCGCACCAGGCTTCGGGAACACATCACTCCCACCCTCGCTCGCCTCCACTGGCTCCCCATCCCCCAGAGGATCGAATTCAAGATCCTCACCCTCACCTACAAGGCCATTCACGGCCTTGCTCCCTCCTACCTCTCCGACTTACTATCCCCCTACCTACCTGCCCGTACCCTCCGTTCCTTTGGCTCCGGTCTACTCCACATCCCCCGCCCCAACCGCCCTACCATCGGTGGCCGGGCCTTCAGCCTCTCAGCCCCCAGGCTCTGGAACTCTATCCCCGAGTTCCTTCGCCGCCTCCTCTCTTTCCTCCTTCAAGGCCGGTCTCAAGACCTTTCTCTTTGACCGTGCCTTCAGCTCCCCTGTCGACTCTCTACCCCCTCCTCGCTCCCTCCCTTTCCTCCCCTCACCCTGACCATTTCCCCCAATGCTCGGGTCCTGACCCAACTGTACAGCGCCTTGGGACGTCCTCCCGACATGAAAGGCGCTTAATAAATGGAATCTTGTTGTTGTTGTTGTTGTTGTGGGTTCAAGCCCCATCTCCAGGCTTGAAACTCGCACAGTCATTGTTGTAGGTACCATTCTTGAAATGTGATGTTAAAACAAAATCCCATCTGCCTGTATAGGTGGATGTGAAAGATTCTATAGAACTAGTTGAGAAGTGAAAGGAATTTCTTCTGGTGTCCAACAACCCCCTAAATAAAATTGGTCACTCACTCCATGGTAGTTTGTGGGACATTGCTGTCCACAATTTTTCTGCTGCATTCGCCCACAAAATACATAGTCACTATACTTTGCGGTATATCCTGTGAAGTGATTTCAGATGCTTTGACAATGTGATAAGGCCATATATTGAAATGCAAGGATTATTATTTTCTGTAAATTCTCTAAGAACTGCAGAACTGCAGAAAACACATATCAGAGAATTTAAGAAATAACCAAATTTTGCATTATCTGAAATGCTATATTCATTTAAACATAGAGTGAATTTAAACTCAGATGGAATTTCTACTCATCGGTTGGTTTAAGTACTAATTAAAGTCTAATGTCATGTACCAGACTTATTAAGCACCAGCTGCTTAATCCAAGTCGTCATGTGAGGGGACTTGGCAAATAGACCTGCCTGTGTGAAGCTGCCTCCACGCCCAAGGTGCTTAGTGACAGGTCAGTATCGGCCAGAGCCCTCCCTCCCTGCCGCTGCTTCCCGTGTTTGCCACAACTCCACCTCACTGCTTGATTTGGACTTTACAAATTGGCCAGTTGGCCCAATGTTTAATATGTTGGGTGGAGTGCAGAAGGTCCCCAGATGAGTTCACCAGCAGCACAATATCATCCGCAAACAGATATGCCACAATCCTGTTAGAAGACCTGGCGCAGATATACAAATTCCATCCCACTCAGTGCCATCCAACAAG